TTCCGCTGCTGTGGCTACGACGACGACTACTACTACTACTACTACTACTACTATTACTACTGCTACTACTACTGCTACTACGACTACGATCACGACTTTACGATTACTCCTACGACCAGTACGACTGCGACTTCGCGTTTTGCTACGACCACGAATATTACTACTACTACGACCACTTCTTCTTACTACTACTACTACCACTACTACTACTACTATTACTACTACTACCACCACTTCTACTATTACTACTATTACCGCGAGAACGACGGCGGCGACCACTATCACTACTGCTACTACTGCTACTACCACTACGACTATTACTACTACCGTTGATGCTGCTACTACTACAGGGACGACGACGACTACTACGAGTACGACTACCATTACTACTACGACTACATTTGCTATTACGATTACTAGTACGACCTATTGTTACGACTGCTGCTGCTACTACTACTACTACTGCTACTACTACTACTACTACTACTACGACCACTACGACCACTACGATTACTACTGCTACTGCGATTACTACTGCGACGACTACTGCTACTAGAACGACGACACCGACAACGATCACTACACCGACTACAACTACTATTATTTTTTTCCTGCCGATGACGCCGGCGACGACTACTCTTACTACGACTATTACTACTGCTGTTGCTGCTGCTGCTACTACGACTGCTACTACGGCTACTACGAAGACGGCGACTACGACTACTACTACAACTACTACCACTACTACTACTTCGACTACGACTACTACTGCTACGACAACAACTACTACTACTACTATGATTACTACTACTACTACTACTACCACTACTGCTATTAGTCGACTCTTACTATTATTATTAGTACGACTACTACTACTACTACGACTACTACTACTACTGCTACTACTACTACTACTACTACGACTACGGCGACGGCGGCGTCTACGAGTACCTCTGTTGCCACAACAACAACAACAATTACTACTACTACTACTACTACTACTACTCGTACCACCACTACTATTACTTCTACTACTACTACTACTACTACGACCACTGCTACTATTTCGACTACCACGCCTACTACCACTATTACTACTACGACCACTACTGCTACTACTACGATTACTACTACTACTACTACGACTACTACTACTACTACTACTACTGCTACTGCTACTGCTACTACTACTACTACTACTACTACCACTGCTTCAACTAGTTCTAGTACTACTACTAGTACTACTACTACTACTACTACTACTGCTGCTGCTACTAGTATTACTACTACTACTACTACTACTACTACCACTACTACGACTACTACTACTACTACTGCTTCTACTACTACTGCGGCTACCATTTCTACTCCTAGTACGGCTACCACTACCGCTACTACTACTACTGCTACTACTACTACCACTACTACTACTACTACTACTACTACTCCTACTACTACCCCTGCTACTACTACTACTACTACTACTACTACTACTACTACTGCTGCTACTACTACTACTACTACTACTACTTCTGTTACCACTAATACTACTACCACTACCACCACTACTACTACGACTACTACTACTACTACTACTACGAGTACTACTACTACTATTACTACTACTACTACTACCAACTTACTACTACTTGTACTTTCACTACTACTACGACTACTACTACTACTACTACTACTACTACTACTACTACTACTACTACTACCACTTTTACCACTACTGCTACTACTACGACTACCACTACTACCTTTACAACTACCACTACTACTACTACTACTACTAGTACTACTACTACTACTACTACTACTACTATTGCTAATGCTAATGCTAATGCTATTATTACTACTACCACTACTACGACTACTATACTACTAGTACCATTACTACTACGACTACGACCACCTTTACTACCACTACTACTACGACCACTACTACTACTACTGCTACTACTACTACTACCACTACCACTAGTACTACTACTAATATTGCCACTACTACTATTACTACTACCACTGCTACTACTACCACTACTACTACTACTACTACTACTACTACTACTACTACTACGAGTAGTACTACCACTACTACTGCTACTACTACTACTACCACTACTACTACCACTACTACTTTTATTACTACTACCTTTACTATTACTACTACTACCACTACTACGACTACTACTAATACTACGACTACTACTACTACTACCACCACTACTACTACTACTACTACTACTACCACTACCACTACTACTACTACTACCCGACACTACGATCACCACCTACTACTACTACTACTACGACAACTACTACTACTACTTCTACTACTACCAGTACTACTACTGCTACTAATACTGCTACTACCACTACTACTACCACTACTACTACTACGACTACTACTACTACTACAACTACTACTACCATTTACTACTACTACTACTACTACTACTACTACTACTACTACTACTACTACTACTACTACTAC